TTTTTTTTTTCAACGTTTATTTATTTTTGGGACAGAGAGAGACAGAGCATGAACGGGGGAGGGGCAGAGAGAGAGGGAGACACAGAAGCGGAAACAGGCTCCAGGCTCTGAGCCATCAGCCCAGAGCCCGACGCGGGGCTCGAACTCACGGACCACGAGATCGTGACCTGGCTGAAGTCGGACGCCAACCGACTGCGCCACCCAGGCGCCCCAAAAATAAACATTTTAAAAAAGAAAGTGCATATCGGAATTAGTAAGCATAATTAAATGGTGTCCATTAAACTGTAGGTATTTTTTACTGAAATTTTGAGATACGCAATTTTTAGAACTTATAAGTTTAGAGAGGATAAGAAACTTGAGTTAATTCTATGAAACTTTTGTACATTCAAATGCTTTTTCATTTGTTCAGAAAATTCAGAATTTTATATGCTGTTGTGAAATATAAGTGAGGACAACCTGGTCTAATTTAGGTACCTTTTTTAAAGTTTATTTATTTATTTACTTAGAGAGAGAGAGAGAGAGTGCAAGCGAGTGGGGGAGGGGCAGAGAGGAAGAGAGAGAATCCCAAGCAGGCTCTACACTGTCAGCGCAGAGCCCGATGCAGGGCTCAAACCCAAAAATCGTGAGATCATGACCTGAGTGGAAATCAAGAGTCAGACCCTTAACCAACTGATCCACCAGGCGCCCCTAGGCACATTTAAAATACGATGTTTTTAAGGTCAGTGTGGTTTGGTAATACATTTTTCTAAATAAAAGGAATACCTCGTATAGCATGTCTTTTGCTGGACAGAACGTGTTCAGAAGCACATGAGTATCTCTTATGATCGCACCTACATGTTATTCACGTTTTCAAGTACGTGAGCCATTTCCAGCGGCTTGAAGATACCCCATAATCTTAGGCCCCATAAAGAAAATTGCATTCTGTGCACTCTAGATGATGCTATCAAAAATCATGTCATTGATGCTTTTCCTCCATGATATTATGAGTACAGAAACCCAGCGTATGTGCGTTTCATCAATCAACACAAAGTCGTGTTACCTGGTAAAAAATGCCAGCACCGTTTCCTGCACAGGAACTGTCTGCACTTTGGGGTTCAGTTGCAAGAAGACCCACAAAAGTAGCGTTTTCAGAAGATGAAACTCATTAAAAGTGAACAACCTGGCCGAAATAAGAGAAGACATTTCAGGAATAGCAAAATCTCACACGATTTGTAAGAAAACGGAAAGTCAAAAGTGAGTTGAGGTCTGAGGCAATACCACCCCCGAGTCTGTCGGTCACTTCAGCCAGAGAGAGATGAAGTGACCTTCTCAGGGTCACTGGGACAGTGAATGGCAGCGCTGGGATGTGACCCTCAGCAGCCTGACGCCCACCTGCTGTGCCACCAAAGCCACGGGCAGCATTTAAGCCCTTACCACAGACAGGTGTGTGTGAGACGCGTTTGGATGTTTCTTTCGTTTGATTCCACACAGCAATCCTGCAAAGTTGCGATACATTCCTTATATGGATATGTGAATTCAGACTGGCCCTATGTTTACTTAAAATTTTAATATTTTGTTCAGCGTGGGTTTTGAGTGGGGAGGGGCAAAGGGAAAGGGAGAGAGAGAGCATTGCAAGCAGGCTGCATGCCCAGCATGGAGCCCGACTCAAGGCTCCATCCCGGAACCATGAGATCATAACCTGAGCTGAAATAAACAGTCAGATGCTTAGCCGACCGAGCCACCCAGGCGCCCCATTCGTTCATTGTGTTTTTTTGCATTACTGTCGATTTTGAAGTATCGCACTACAATATACTTTACCTGAAGACTGAGGGTTGTTTTGTGTCCCCTTAAATTTTGCACCCGAGGTTAGTGCCTCACTCATCACCTTCTAGTCCCAGCCCCGACTGAGGGCTAAATAGCTTATCCAAGGTCACAGGATCCTGGGGTCAGACCTGGCGTGGCTCCGTTCGGCCCCACGCTGGCTGTGGAACCTCCTGCAGGCTGCTGGGCGGCCCCCCAGCCACTACGCCCTCATCTGCAGATAGTGGTGACAGCCAACGCTCAAAGTCTACGTGAGTGACAACGCTGAGTTTTCCTGTCGCTGCGGTAACAAGCTATGAACCAAGTGGCTTAAAACAACACACATGTATTATCTTACGGTTGTGGAGGTCAGAAGAATAAAAATCGATCTCACTGAGCTAAGATCCAGGGGTGGGCCGCCTTCTTTCTGGAGGCTCTATGGAAAATCATTTCCTTGCTTTTTCCAGCTTGCAGAGGCCACCCACATCCCATGGCCTGTGGCTCCTTCCTCCACCCTCAAGCCAACAGCACAGCGCCTTCCAATCAATCTCCATCTGGTTCTGATCCTCCTGCCTCCCTCTTCCATGTGGAAGGAGCCTTGTGATTATCCTGGGCCCACCTGGGTAACCCAGGACGCCCTCCCCAGCTCAAGGTCATCCATCCGCAATGTTTTTCCTCTTTGCCATGCAACCTGACAGATTCACAGGCTCTGGGGGTTGGGATGTCGACATCATCGAGCTGACCACACACGTACAGCTTGCTGAGTGCAGCGCCTGGCACCTAGGAGCGTGCTAGTGAGTGGCCGCTGGGACTCGTAAGTGGCAGGGCCAGGTCCTGGCTGCAGAACCCACGCTTGGCCTGCAGCGGCATGAGACTTCTTATCAAGAAACAAGTGGTGAGAAGGAGCGAGTGTCGCTCCCCACGGTGTCAACTCTGTAAAGGAAGGGTGTTTCCCAAAGAAGTTCTCTAAACAGCCTCCCAACAACTTGATTATCTGAGAAGTCATTTCGGTGTTTCTTAAACCCCTTGATATTTCCGGTCTTGACCACAGGAATGGCACACTGGCTTCGAAACCTGTCACAGCCTCTGCACCCGCAACTTTGAGTGGTCTTGGTGGGTGGGACCCAAGCTAAGTAGGGACTCTAAAGAACAATGGAAATGTCACCCACCCACCTTTGACACTATTTCTGATCACAGAATGTCTCTTTGCTCTGTTTTCAGGTTACCTACAGATGCATGGGCTTTGACTCTGGCCAGACAGGACCAAATTTGTCACTGTCTGGGCAATGACAGTGAGGCAGGAGGGCGGATGTCACAGCCACTTGATATGATGTGCCCACAGAGAACTCCACAGGGACACCAACCACCTCTGGGCTGGGGAGCTACATGACTCCCGGTGCAGAATCCAAGCCCAAGGTTCCCAAGCCCAGAAGGTTCTTTGGGACGTCTCCAAAGAGGAACAGGCAGCAACACAGGAGGAGTAACTGGGGCTCCGTGAATCAGGATTCTGGTTTTACTTTCATTGTGAATGGTAATTGTTCAAATAAAGCCCTGTCTTTAGACCAAGTACCAGTAAAGTATTGGCTCCTGCTCAGGACACTCAAACATATTTTCATTTACATAAGAGCCCTGATGGCCTCAATCAAAACAGAACTTACAGAGTTCTTAAACTTCCCTCGGGGAACATCTGGGCTGTTCTCCCTGTGTTTACTGGGGCTCACTAATAGCCATTGGGAGGCAACTGGCATTTGTTCTTTAAGAGAAGAATGCTTCTAACAAGGCACTGTTTGTCTTTTTTTTTTTGAGAAAATTGTATGTAAATAATAAAGGCCCCCCTTTGAGTATAGAGAACGCCGTCTCAACGCAAACAAGAAACCACGAACAAGGGTACCCACGGCAGCATCGATTGCCACGACAAAAAATGAAGCAAAATAAATCAAAAGGCCATTAAGAAGGGAATGAAAAATTGCTATCTATTCATTCTATGGAACCCTGTACAACGTCAAATTTAAAATGCTAATCAGATATGTAAGTACCAATACGGAGAGAACACATCGCATCATGTTAGTGAGTAAAGTAAGCGGCAGAACATTAAGGTCACTATGAGAACATTTATTTGAAGTTTAAGCCTTTGCAAAATGTTATTTATGGACACACATATGTGTAGTAAGAATATAATCACACGGATGAGTTCACGCGAGCCCGTGACAATGGTCTGATTTTCTTGAGGGAGGGAGGGAGGGAGGCAGAGAGAATGGAAGGAGAATAAGGCTGGGGAGGGTGCACAGTCGAGTCCTGCTTTATTGGTAATGTTTTCTTTCTTATGACAAAATGTCACTGTTCATTTTGGGAAGTGGGCCCAACTGTGTTTTCTATGATCTTCCTACATTTAAAAGTTTTTTCTACAATGAAAAATAGATCCATCAATATCCTTATTGATCTTGATTATCAATAAGGAGAAATGGGCTAGGCTGGTAATGACCTGGGGTTTTGAGGTCGCCTGGACCTGCATTCAAATCCCATTTCTCATGCTGCATGGAGGGAGCCTGGGTCAATCTTTGCATTTCCCGTAATCTCCATTCCACAGGTAAGAAAGCAGGTAACAGTACCCACCTCACTGGGTGGCTATAGGAATTAGGCTGATGACCCACTCAGAGTGCTCTGTATGCAACAAGTACTCAATAGTTAGTAGGTATTGTTGCGATTAGCCAGAGAACCACCAGCTTCAGGAAGTATTACTTTTTTTCTTTTTTTAATGTTTTACTTTTTTGAGAGAGAGAGAGAGAGAGACAGAGTGCAAGTGATGAAGGGGCAGAGAGAGAGGGAGACACAGAACCCGAAGCAGGCTCCAGGCTCTGAGCTGTCCGCACAGAGTTTGACGCGGGGCTCGAACTCACAAACTGCGAGATCATGACCTGAGCCGAAGTCAGACACTTAACCTAAGACTCAGCCACCCAGGTGCCCCAGGAACTATCACGTTTGAGAGCCATGCCCCGTGGCGTTCCAGATGTTAGTGGGAAAGCTGTTGGACAGGCCTGATGTGGAGGACAGGGGGGGCTTCTCTTGGGAATTCTTGAACCCTCAAGATGTGTGGTGTCCTCGACAGGAAGCCAGGGAGAAGCGGGCACACCCCCGTTGCAGGGGCGGCAAGGCAGCCTTCCTGCTGATAGGAACCAGACGGCTTGCCAAGTTTTCCATGTTCCTGAGTCTACAAGGAGCTTGGCTTCCAGAAAACTTGGAATGAAGCTTTCATAATATTAGAGTTAGTGGAACAGGGTAACCTAGTGGTGACCTCTAAAGACAAAATGAACTGAAAACCCAAGGCCCAGGCAAAGAAATTAAAACCAGAGGCCCTGGAGGCTAGTAAACCGGTGTGTATTTTATGCGAGGTCATTTATAAAATGGAGAGCAAAACCCAAAGGGAGCTGAGGTCAAAGGGACTTCAGAAAGGGAAGGTGAACAGCCCAGAAGTTGAAGCACCTGCTGAGAAGGATGTTGTTCCGATGATGCTTAGAAACCCAAACACCAGGGGGTGGGCCACAGTGTACCTTCCCGGGCCCCGGGGATGCTCCATCCCCGACCTCAAGGGTTGGCGTGGCCACACGGCTGCTCTGGCGTCACGTGACTTGCCAGGACGACCCAGATCTGGTGGAGTTCTGGTTGCCGGGAAGCCTGGTCTCTGTGACGAATGAAGAGACGTTGCAGCATGGAGGGTGTGAGCCTGGACCTTGGAGCCTGAGTCCCAGGTTGGAGCCCAGCCCTGCCTTTTACTGTCCCTCTTATCTTAGGGGCAATAACTACCTATCGCATAGGGTTGTGGTGGTTGAAAGGCACAGCGCACAGGGCTGCGCACATACCCCAGTGTGCTCGGTAACAGTGAACTCGTCCAAGGGTTTGTTCTTCATTAGCTGTGGTCCAAAGTGCCAGATCCACCAGCCAACAAGTGCGCCCAGATGAGGAACCTGAGCCTGGGTGAATGTCTAACAATCCCGCCGGGCACGGGGTGCGGCCAGGCCCTGTCTTCCAGCACCCTCTGCTCCCCACCTCCCTCCAGCTTTAAAGCAGGCGGTCACTGGACATCAACAGGGCGGGTGAGGAGAATGTGCCCCGGGGAACACGAACACGAGTCTGGGAGCCGTTAGCCCAGTCTCTCCAAGGCACACGGGCCCCATGACATGCTCAAGGCCACACAGGGTCTCCTCCAGCTGCCGGGATGGCTCTGGGTTGTGTGGACACAGCTCCTGGGGGAGGGGCCCGAGGAGCAGGACCCAGTTCCCAGCTCCGTCATGTCTCTCCAAGCCTGTGAGTCTAGACGCTTGACGTGGAAGGTGCTTGACCTCTTTTCCTGCCTAGTGGACACTTTGTAAGGCCTGTTCCATCACCAAGGTTCTGGCTGTGGTCAGACAACTTTTCCCTTTTCTTGGTCAAATACTACCAGGGTGCGACAGCTCAGTCTTTCCAAGGGAGGGACAGTGTTACGAAAAGTCTAAGGGATGCCTTGTTTACCTTTTCCTCCACAGTTGTGTAACCTTTCCTCTGCCGGAGGTTGGGGAAAAGCATCAGGGAGTAGGGCAGAATGACACCAGGAGTGCCCCCCCCCCAGGGCCCCAGAAGTGTTCCTGGACTGGGTTCCTGAGGTCTTCCTGCTAATATGGTCTCCTTCCACACCAGAACTCTGTTCTACCAACTGCATTTCTCTGTAAGTGCGAGGGCATCACAAGCCACTTAGTAAATTCAAACCAACGGTGGAATGAATCTTTGCAGATCTAATTTCTGATATCAGAATGCTTTCCGCCACACGACCACGAGTAAACATTCCATTTCTAACATACGGCTAAAATGTTTAGTGGAATTTACTTCTCACTTTTGAAACCTACCCAAAGGGAATACAATCTCGGTACCTTGGCAATGGGTATCGAGAACCTTTTCAAGAGTCCCAAAGAGTCATGGCAAGTAAATGCAATATGTGATCTAAACCAGATCCCGCACTGGGGGAAGAAATGTTATAAAGGACGGCGCTGGGCTAATCATGTCAAGGCATTAACATCAATGCTAAATTCCCTGAAGTTGATAACTGCATTGTGATTACATTAAAAGGTTCTTTCTGTTAGGAAATAAACACTGAAGCATTTAGGAGACAGGGTACATGATGTGTGCAACTTGCTTTCAGAGGGTTCAGGAAAAACTATGTGGGTACACAGTTACACCTACAGATGCAGATGATCAAACAGACAGCAGAAACTGAACAAAATAGGGCAAAGGGTATAGAAATATTCTTTATACTGTTCTTGCCATCTTGATTTGTTAGAACTTATTTTCAAATAGAATATTTTTTAGAATGCTTTTTACCTGTGACAAAACCAGAAAGTCCTGTTGACTTAATAATGTCACTTCTAGAAATTTCATGTGGGAAGATAATCTGGGATGAAGATGGAAGGAGGTACATGAAGGAGGTCACCAAGGTGCTATTTTCATATTGATAAAACACTGGAAATAAACCTAAAAGGCCAAGAACTGGGGACGTTTCTAGGAACTGGGCTGGAGGGGAGCAGACTGGTGGGTACCAAGGAGCTCGGCAGGGCTGAGATCCAAGGTAGCCCCCGTGGGTGCCTCGTGGCTGGTGAGATGTGGGCATGCCAAAAGCTCTTTGGCTACAGATGTTCTTGGAGGGGGTCAAGAGCTGACACAACACCCTGAGTCAGAGGTCCCTGCAGTGGTCCAGACAACAGATGATGGAGATCTCTGGCTGGTGCCTGTGGAGAGAAGCCCTTAGAGACGGGCTGGGTCTGAAAGTGCTACTGACGCAGTCGGGGCGGAGGGCCACGTGATGTTCAGAAGGCCCCCCAAGATTCCAGTTTGATCAGCCGCTAAAGGAACACAGGGTGGGGGCCCCCAGGGTTGGGTTTTGTTTTAGCTCGAGTGTCAAACAGAGAGTCTGGTGTCTGGGTCACATCTGTTCAGGAGAGGGCTCAGGGCTAAAGGCAGGAATCAATTTAGGACGAGAGTGCTTATTTTCTGTTTTCTGCATTTCCCTGTTCTCCATTTTCCACAGCGGGTGTATATTAATGTTGTCAGGATTTTTTAACATTATGTAGGCAATTACTGAATGAACCACCATGTGGGTCACGGGACAGCGGGCACCCAGAAGGTCCTCACCCCAGTGAAGGAGCGTGAGGGGTCTTGTCCCCCTCCCTACCCACAGTGCCCTGCGTTTCAGCCCCCACCCTGGCCAGCTGTTCAGGATGGTGGGGAGTTTGGGATGGAGGACGTGTAGGACACCTGGCATGGCCAGCAGGGGCGTGGATGCACCCCGCTGGAGCACCCCCTTCCCAGGACCGGCCCTGCTGCCCCAGGCAGGGTGGTGGGGGCTCCTGGTACCCCCCCACCCCCAGCACAGCACCCCTGGGCACCAGCTCTGACCTGGGGGACCGCAGCACTCTGTGAAGCAGCTCCTGCGGGATTTTCCGGAGGTGGATCTGTGTCCCTACCAGAGGGACCAAGTTCATTTCCAGCCACTTCTCGCAGGCCGTGGTGAGCTGCTCTTCCTTGTACTGCGAAGGCAAGAAAAGCCAAGGATAGATAAAGCGATCCCTGAACTCTTGGCGCCCTCTGCTGGCCTGTGACGATGCGGCCTGGTGGTCTGACCACAGGACTTGCACACTGAAATCTCTGGGCTGAAGTCAGTCACAGATCATGGAAGGGCCTGCAGGGTGTACCCCAGATGGAGTGCTGAGGCTGGTGGGGGGCACATACCCTGACATCAAAGTCCAAAGGAAGTGGGAAGGTTCTCCCAGGGCCAGGGACCTTGGCAGGGTCTCAGTACGCTTTGCACGTCCTGGGGGCTACAGTCCTTCCCAGGCCAAGAGTGGCCGGAAAAGAAAATGTTGACCAGAATGCAAAGACACTGCCCACAGAGTGACTTTCTAGTTACTGATGGACGGTGGGGACACTTATTGTCTTTGACAAAATAGGCACTTCGCACGTTCTTAGCTGCCATTACGAGAGCCCTGGGACCAGCCGGTCGTGAGTGAACCAGACGTCACGGTCAGACGGGCCTGTTTCACGGGGTGAGTGCCCATCCAGGTCAACGGTAGCCTCACAGAGGAAGGCAGGGATCAGATGGCCTGGGGTTCGAGCCCAGCACTGCCACTTAGAAGCTGTCACCCTGATCAGGATGGATCAGGTGGCGTTCTCCTCTGAGAATGAGACCATTAGATGACATCATTTATTCCCGATACTGACTGTCTGCTATTCTGGTGAGAAAGACTGTGCTCGTATTTTTTCCCCCTTAGTTTTTAAGTTTTTGTTTACATTTATTATTATTATTATTATTATTAATATTTAATTTTTGGCTTTAAAATGTCCTTTTGTTTTTTAATTTTTTAACACTTTATTTATTTATTTATTTATTTATTTATTTATTTATTTATTTATATTTTGAGAGAGTGAGCAAGGCGCAGAAAGAATCCCACACGGGGCAGGGAGAATGCGGAGCCCGAAGCAGGGCTCGAGCTCACCTGAAGTAGGGCTCGAACTCACGTACCAGGAGTTCGTGACCCGAGCCAAAGTCGGATGCTTAACCGGCTGAGCCACCCAGGCGCCCCTAAAGATGTCCCTTCAAAATAAAATTATTTTTCATAATTGTTTGGAGCTGGGCCTGGCGGGTAAAATCCTAGAGGCTGGGGTGCTCCCAAAAGTCCCCAGGTGCCGTATGCTCTGTCCAGGTTGTTCTCACCTTGCAGCCGGCCAGGTAAAAGCTCTTGACGGTGCTTGGCGTGAGTCCCTTCATCATCACGGCCACACACCTGCGGAGAGAGAAATGCTGTTCCTGGAGGGTCCCGAGGCTGCTTTCAGAGAAGGGGCAGCCCCAGAGGTTTCATTCAACTCCAGGATGGTGGGAGAGCTGGAAACCGAGAGTTTGCCAGAGGTGCGAGTCCTGCCGGCCACCAGGCACGGTGTTCTTTAGGTGCTGGCTCTTACCAGCGACAAACGGGAACAGAATTAGCTGGGCTTGGAGTTAAGGCACAGAAGTTAGTGTTCTAAGAGGCTGACACCCTCACTCGTGCTCCCCCTTTCTCACGGTCAGACTCATCGGCCAGGCTGAACTGGAATGGCCAGGCTTCCCCAGACCAGGGGACACCAAGCAAGCCTGAAACATGCTCATATATGCATGCACGTGACAGCCCTGAGCCCAGCTGGGCCAGTGCACATATCTGATGCACGAAATCAAGGAACCGTACCAGATGGAATCGGCACACACACTCTGCATCCCCCGAAGGGGAATGGCTTCTGCTACGTGTGATTCAGACCAGGGCAGCCATCTGGGTGATTCTGCCCTTGGCTGGGAGCTCAGCCAAGATGACCTTTGAGGTCTTGTTCAGCACCTGGATTTGTGATGCTATCAGAGTGACCCACACGACATTTCTGTTCCCCTATACAAACACACCCACACGCACCCACGTACCACACACACACACACATATACACACACTGAGGCTTGTGCTGCCACATTGCGGCCAAATGTACCATCAGCCTCTTGAAGGCAGGTGACAGCCAGCCCAGCTGTGTGCCAGGCCAACCGGGATCTGACCTGTAAGACCTGGCCACGGCTATCTGGAGAATCTTGAGCAAGGTCCATACGCCCCCGTGCAATGACGGGTCTGGCTCATTATCCCCAAAGCCCTTGCTGCTCTGACCTTGAACCAAGTTGGGGTGGAGGAAGGAAAATGAAGAACCTGTCGTTCTTGGCTTAGCCCCCAATAGCCAGGCTAGGGTTCCAAGGAAGCTGGGCCTGAGGTAGGGCAGCCAAGGCTGACAGACAGCGGCTGGAATCCCTGCTCCATGAGGGAGGCTGGCCTTCCGGCTTTGGGCCCAGAGATATTAGAGCACTAGGAAAGAGCTGCTCAGAAGTGTCCTGAGCAAGGAAGCTGGGACTTAGCAGTTTTATGAAGGCTGTATGGCACGGAACATGGGTGGTATATACAATACGAGGGAAATCTCAGCAAACCCCAGACGATCAGCCATCAACTGCAGTCTAGATTGGACTCCTTAGTCAGCCCCAGACCCTACACAATCCGGCTGTACCTACACCTGCTGGTCTCCCACCTCCCGCCACGCACCATCCAGGTCAGGCCATGCCGACACGCTGGAGCACTTTTTCAAGACTCTGGTCCCCTCAGTGTGCCCTCGGTTGTCACGTCCAGGCCTCCAAGAGCCTGCATCCCTCAGTTCATGGGACGTCTGCGTCCCTCATAAGGCTTCTTGATACTCTTGATCGAGCATCTGGCCTGAGTCATTTCAGGTGCCCCAGAAATGAGACTCCTGCTCAAAAGTGTCTTTGGGGTTGAAGCTGGCTGTGTGGACTCTACGAAAGTGAATTGAAACCTGCAAGATCCTTGGGAGAGATCCTACCCCTGCCCTCTACAGAGCAGCTGATGTCCTCTCTTGTCTTGGATGGGAAGTTCATTCATCCATTCATTTCCTCAAAAGAGGATACTGAGGCGTAGAGCAGAACAAGCTTGGTGGACCATCCTTGCCCTAAATCCCCTCTCTATGTTGAATCCCAGAAGGTATTAGGAAATCAAAGACTATAAGACACCAGCTCGATGTCCGGGACATGACTGCAGGAGGCACACATCCCCGAAAAAGCCCAAGGGAAGGGACAGAATATTCTAGAAGAGTGAATCCCATCAGCAATTTTCCACTCGGTTCACCTACCCTTTCGTAAGTTACTGGAATGGAGCAGTATTACGGGATACGGAAAAGGGGGAGGTTCTAAGAACTGTTCTTGTTAATCACTGGGCCCCGTTTACTTGAAATTAATCACACATAACACAAAATGTTCCATCTGGGAATCCCCATCCTTCATTCCACTTTATTCATTTCCTGTGCCCTGGAGACCGTAGGGCAAGAAGCTTCAGAGGGCAGGGCCCTTGCCCCCTGGTCCTGGTGTCCTGGAGACGCCCAAGACGTCGTTCTTAAAGGAGCAGACAAGTGAACGAAGGTGACGGAATGAGCTGGCAGGTGACTGGCCCCAAGCAAACCTCACCTCACCAAATGCCACTGAAAGTCAGTGAAGCCCTGAACGAGCAAGCGACACTACCTCCTCAGCAGAGCAAAGCCGAAAAGGACAGTGTTAGGGGTACAGGTTCCGAGACCCCTGGCCTCCTGCATGTTCTGGCGGCTCTACTGTGGTCTTGTGCAAGCTGCTCACCTCGTGAGGCCTCCGTTTTCTTGTCTGTAAAGTGGACATAATGATATACCACCTCCCTGCAGGGAGGATAAAGTGAGGTCACCCTCGCCAAAAGCTGAGAACCATGTCTGACCGGGGCGAAGGCCCCACCTCAAAGCCCTTCGTGCTGACATCCCCTCACCCTGAACAAAGTCCCGCGAAGTACTCAGGATGAATGTAATGAGCCCCATTCCACATCTGAGAACACTGAGGCCCCGGGAGACCAAAGAGCGGCTTATAGCAGGGCTCAGCACAGGCCCTGCTGCTCACATCCTAGGCTGCTTCTGGCTTTGTGGAAAAAGTCTAATGAAAACTGGGAGCCTCTGAATGTCAGCCCCTAAGGCTGCATTGCACTCTTCTGCTTTCAGTACCCACACGTTCTCTTGGTGCCCATGAACCCAGGCAACCCTTGGCAGGATGAGCAGGCTTTCACATTCGATGTCCATTCCCTTGCTCGGCCCCCCTGTTCCCCTGCTCGGCCCCCCTGACAGGCAGCCCAGGTGGGTCAGTGGGGTCTGAATCCCCAAGAGAAAGGCTGTGCCCCCAGTGGGCAGCGGGACTGGTGGGCAGCTGACTTGGATCTTTGCATTTTTCTCTCTTCTGAAAGATCTACCGTGACCGTGTGTAACATTTGTAAGAATAAAAATATTACAGGGGCGTTTGGGTGGCTCAGTTAAGCGTCTGACTTCAGCTCAGGTCACGATCTCACATGACTTGCATCAGGCTCTGTGCGGACAGCTCAGAGCCTGGAGCCCGCTTCAGATTCTGTGTCTCCCTCTCTCTCTGCCCCTCCCCGCTAGCACTCTGTCTCTCAAAGATAAATAGAAAACTTTAAGAAAAAGACTGGTTTTTTTTGAAGAATACTGAAAGAGACGGGTGGATTCGTGCCTCGGTCCCTCTGCAGACCCACAGCTCTGTGCCAAGAAACCCGGATGTTCTAGCCCATGGACAGGGGCCATTCTATGAATGGGCCAGGGGGGCCCCCCTCTACCTTGCCCAGGGCTGGGCCTGGCCTGAGCCTTGCTACGTTTCCTTACCTTTGAAACAGGCTGCTGATCTGGAGAACGTGTGCGGAAGCCAGCACGGCCAGCACGTCGTTGACGTTCATCTCCACCTGGCTCAGGTAGAGGCTCTTCAGGGCCATGGCGAAGCCTGGGAGGAAGCATCCAAGAGAGAAAGCCGTCAGCCCGGGGCTCTGGACCCCGCGTCCCTCCCTTGCAGGTGCCCTCCTGGCTGGATGCTCAAGGGTCCCCTGGCTGTGTCGGCAGAGACGCCCTTAGAGGAAACGCACGTGCTCGGACCTGAGCACAGCTACAGCCCGGGCTCCCAGCCTCCACCAAGGAAGATGAAGCCAAAGAAAAGTGAGTTCCTGCTGAAAGAATGCGTTTTTTTTTTTTCTAATATGAAATTGTCAACTTGGCTTCCATA